GGCGGTTCCCAGGGGGAACATCTGCTCCATGGGCTGTTTGCTGTCCGGACGCGTGCCGACTGGTCACATACATTAGCACGAGCAAGGCCGGGGGCTAGTGGGACCGCCACTGAGAGACCGGGGGACCCTTCTCCGTGGGGCTAATTTCATATTCCAGGAGGACACTGGCTCAAACCAAGCTGATATTGGCTGGCTGGAGGAAGCGCTTGAAAAGCTTCCAGCTTTATTAGAGGAAAAGCCAGAGAGAAACTCTGGCCTCTCACTGCGATCCATTAGTGTAATGAATAATAAATATCCCCATGCATCTGATACTGGCAAGACTCCTTATCACTGATGTTTATTATTACCCACCGGCTATCTCGAGCTGCCTAGTCTGACTGCGAAGGTGCAGGGCTGAGAGGAGTTTTGAAATGCAGCACTTTCCTTGGGTATGCCTGGGCACAGCTGGGGATTGAGAAGGTAACAGGTTCAGTCTGATGAAAATAAGGTGGACTTTGGACTCACATGATCTGGCCCTGATCCCTGTCTCAGCATCAACAAATCATGTGACTTTTGGATAGCTCAGCTCGCTCCTCAGAGACCCACTTTCCTCATTCCTACCTCTAAAGGTTCCTGTGAGGGTTGCAAGACAAGATACTGAAATGTCCTCCCCAATGCTCAGCATGTGATGGGTACCTCATTAATATTATCTTCTCTCCTTTAATCCAAATTCTAGCTTTTGTTTACAACAAGTAGGTAGAAGACTGAACATAGTTAAAAGCAAGATTTCCCTACTGCTGCAATTTGTAATCTCAGCCATATTGTGCCACCAAGGGGTCTGTTTCTTTTGGGAAGATAATGTATATTCTTCAGCTTATTCTACTGTTCGTGTAAGGGGCACTAGTCAAGTGTTTGGGTGACTGATGCAGGGGAAAGAAGAGAGAGAAAAGAGCTCGGTATGTGGCCTCAAGCTGATGTTTGTCCACATCTCTCTCTCTCTCACACATTTGTCTTCTGTGAATAGAGGAGAAAAGCCGACTCAGAGGCTTAGTTCATTCCTTCAGCAAGGATTGACTAAGAGCAAATGTGCTGAGTATAGCAGAAGAGATCTAATCTAGATGTAAGGGAAGACTTTCCAATAAAGATAAAAATGAAAAGTAGCTGTCAGAAAGTTCCGAGTGATGGGGAATTTCTTTTAAAAAGATTCATTTATTGGGGCCGGCACTGTGGCGCAGGGGGTTAATGCCCTGGCCTGAAGTGCCGGCATCCCATATGGGCGCCGGTTCGAGACCCAGATGCTCCACTTCTGATCCAGCTCTCTGCTATGGCCTGGGAAAGCAGTAGAAGATGACCCAAGTCCTTGGGCCCCTGCACCTGTGTGGCAGACCTGGAAGAAGCTCTTGGCTCCTGGCTTTGGATTGGCACAGCTCCAGTCGTTGCAGCCAATTGGGGAGTGAACCATAGGATGGAAGACCTCTCTCTCTGCCTCTCCTCTCTCTGTGTAACTAAGACTTTCAAATAAATAAATGAATCTTTTTTTATAAGATTCATTTATTTATTTGAAAGGCAGAGAGATACAGAGAGATGGAAGGGGGTGGGGAGAGAGAGAGATCTTCCATCCACTGATCCACTCCCCGTATGGCTGCAATGGCTGGGCTGGAACAGGTCGAAGCCAGGATTCAGGAGCTTCTTCTGTGTCTCCCAAGCCGGTGCAGGGTCCCAAGCACTTGGGCCATCTTCCACTGCTTTCTCAGGTGCATTAGCAGGGAGCTAGATAAGAAGTGGAGCACCTGGGACTCAAACTGGCACCCCTATGGGATGCCGGCACTGAAGGCAGAGGCTTAACCTCCATGCCACAGTGCCAGCCCCCATGGGAAATTTTAAATAACTACTAGCATTGGATTTGGGAGATCTCTTTATCCAAGGTATCCTTGGAATTCAGTACCTGCTCCCCACCTCCTGCTTCCTGCTATTGCCTCTCCTGTATGTCCTCTGAAAGAATACCATTTGGAATGCAGGAACTTCTTTATTGCAGTAAGCTTTGATCTAGGGTGGAGACAATATATGGGGAGATACTTACAAGTCCATTTCTCTCTTGAGCTTGGCATAGGCTTTCACATAAATCATCCTTATTAAGTTCCTGCTTTCCATTCCCTTGACTTTGATGTCAAGAGCTTCAGAATAATCCCAGCCCCCAAGGAATTCTGAGCCTTTCTAAATGGACCTGAAATCTAGCGCTAGATTCCAGGCCAAATCTTCTTCTGTTGCATCTCCTTCTCCCTGACTCAGATGCCTCACCTTCCTTGGACTCCATTTCCAGAATGTCTCTGTTCATACTGGCCCTAACTTAGCCTCATTGCTTGAAAAAGGCATACCTGTCCCTCTTTGAACTTTCTGAATTCAAGTCATCTAAAAACCCATGTTTCTTCATTCCTCTTACTTCCCTCTTCCAGGTTAGTCACCTATGCGTGGCTGTTAAACCCTTAATCCCCATGTCCTCTCTCTATAAACAATGGCATAAAACTCACCATATCTAAACATAACTGTGGGAATTAATCAATTCATTCAGTCCCTTGAAGATTGATCTAATTCTCAATTCACATAGGATCACATAGGGAGAGGCTGGAGGAAGCACAGAAGTCCTGGTCATATAGGCATAAAGTAGTTTACAAAGAGGTAGGCAGCAAAGATGTGTTTCCCTGGCCATCTGGAAGAACAAGAGGGAGCCTCAGCTGCTCTGTTCTGTTCTGAAGACTGGGGGATAGTCGAGAAGAGTTCCTCTCATCCATAAGTTTCAAATCTCCAAGCATTGTCTGCTGGCTTGACCTTAATCACCATAACCAGCTTCTGTCTAGCAAAGTGGGGGGAGGGGTGGCACTACATCTCTGGTTCTAATCTCCAATATTTCTTGCTTATATTACTGCAACAGTTTCTTAACTGAGCTGTTTTTTTTTTCTTTTCTATTACCCTTTGAATCCATTCTCCACACTAGTTGTCTGGCCTTGGGTAAGTTCCTTTCCTCTTTCTGTTCCTCAGTTCCCCTAGCCTGGAGTGAGGGCTGGACTCACCATCACCAACAGTCTATCTTCTCCCTCTGTTTCCCTCCCTTCTCCTTCCCAGAGCTCCAATCCTATCCTTCTCTCTCAGGTCTTCTTGCCACCTACTTGCTTTTCTCTCTTACCCTTTGACAGCTCTTCCTGCTTCTGCCTGCATGTCTATGCCCCATTTCTCTTTCAGACACTCTCCTCACCTGTGTGTGTGTGTGTATGTGTGTGCGTGTGTGTGTGTTGGGAGGAGTTGGCATGAGAAGTGAGGCATGACATACAGGGGGTTTCCACTCTCCAGAAAGTTGGAGTCTTCAATTAACTTCTTCTTTCCCTTCAGGCACTCAGTCTAGTCTCAGCCCTCTATGGGCTCTAGGTAAACATGAATGAACTGATACAGTGAGCTCCTCAAACTTCTGGTTAAAAAAGAGTCATGGCAGTACTGAGAAATGTGATTGACTGCTATTGTTATTCTTGCTACTGAGGTTTTCTGATGAGCGTTGATCTTCCTTGTGGGCTTTCTCTGGAGTGCTGATCATTCTCTTGACAAATACTCAGTTAAAGAAAGTGATCTTGGCTAGAAACGCTGCTTTTCCTAGTACACATCAATGAATCTAGGCATCAGTGAGAGAAACTGAGGCACACTGACTCATGGACCCCATTAAGCTGGGAAAGCAAAGGAGGAGGGAACAGGACTCTTGGTTTGTGAGTGCAAATCCAAGGTCAATCTTTATGCAGCCTAGCTAGGCTCATCTATTGTACTAGGGAGGCTACTTCCTTTCTCATCCTTTTATAATATCAGAGTGGGAAAGGACCTTAGAAACCCAGGAGTCCAGTCCTTTCTTGTTACACGAGGGGGAACTCGGTGCCAGAGAAGGGAAGGGACTTACCAAGAGTGCACAGTGGTCAGAGTGGGTTAATGGAAAGTAGAACCAGGTGTCCTGCTACCCCTCTCAATTGTGCTTTCCACTATCCCAAGATGGCTCACAAGCCCTGCGAGTTGGAGTTTCTGCTTTCACAAAGGATACTCAGATCACTCCTCTGCACGGACGCTAGAGAAGAGAGAAAAAGGGCTATGGCCAGTTCCTTTAACCTGGACTTAGCCAGAGTCCTCCCGCAGTCTAGAATACTGCTGTCCTGGGACTTTGTGACCTTGACAAGAACTATAAAGGGAACTGACAGAAATACTCCAAGCTCCAAGATACTGGTGTGTGTGTGTGGGGGGGGGCTGCATCTCACCTGAGGGAATTATAATCTCATCAAAAAGTGAATGTGTTAGGGGAGGGGCTGAAGGATGGGGCACTGATTTGAAGAAGGTAGAGACTGGGATTTGGAGGAAGGCAAGTGGGCAGAGGACAGATACGGAGCTAAATTCTGATGAAAATGAGGACTGAACAAGAATGGGGAGGAACTATGATGGGAAGAGTCTGACAGAAGTGCTGGTGGGGCTGAGGCAGTTTATTCCGGAGAATAGCAGTTTACTGGAGATATGGGATCTTTT